TCAGCAGCAGTGTGGTAACATGGTACTTTTAAACATATTTTTATAGATAGCACTTGAACACAAAATCTCTATCATTTCTGATAGCAGACCAGTCTTGCTCGGGTTATTTGAAATCACTTAAACACTATCAACATATTTTTTCAAAGTTGTTAGAATCCAATCAGCCCCCACCCTAAAATAACTCAAATCCATTTTTTTTTTCACTTATGCTCATTTCCATTCAAAACAAGAAGAAAAGCTACTCAGAGACGTACTTTCGTTTAGCAATTCCACAGAGATCTTTTCTCTTCCAACATTTTAAATATTTTATACCAAACTCTGTATTATACTAAGCTGTTTAAAAAAGTCACCTGGAATGGGCAATTTTTGAACAGAAAGGATTTCTCCTCCTGTGGCTCACTGTCCTGATTCACATGGGGACATCCCCCAGTCGATAGGACTGCAGGTGGGGGCGAGTTCCCGCATCAAATGGGGATGGGTCCGCGTTCCTTCCAGGGGGCAGCAGACCTCATTCCTGATTCCAGGGCCCAGGGTGTCTGAGAAATCTCTCTGTAAGTCATACACCTAAAAGGATTTCGACATTTCTTGTCTTCCTCCCCCTCCCCCCACCGTGTGTGACTGATGCCCCTCGTCAGGCAGTGGGCATGGACGCCATCTGTTTCTACAACAGAAACTGCACACAGAATGTCAGTCCCCCCCTCGTGAACCTGAACCCAAGCTCCTGGAAGACCAGCTCACGGTCCTGCAGACCAGGTACTTCCCAGGTTCTCACCGCGTCACTTTTAACTGAAATGCCACTTCACAAAAGGAGTTGATAAGGAAAGTGAAGAGGGTGGGTTTGATTATAAAAATAGGAAACATCCAACTTAAAATGAGTGGGATTTTGATGTGTCATCCAGTCAACAATAATTGGGGATTGTTTTCCTAAAAGGTGGACCTCACCTTGGATTCCTGGCAGTCAGACAACCCTCCGGCCCCCAGGCAGCCAGCTCCTGTCACCATCCCCCGTACACCACTTGGCCAGGTTGCGGTGGATTAAAACAGTTTCCTGAAGCATAAATCCCAGATTTCCTGCACAGGGCTGGACAAAGTTAACTGAGGTGCTTGCCAAATGTTCACTTAATGACTGCTTCCTTCAACCGAATTTTTAAATGCCTTAGGAATTATATGACAAACAACCACGACCTAAATCCAAAGCGACGAGAAAGATTCCCCTCCCAGCTTCCCTTTACCTCTTGTCCTACTGGGACGACCCCAGGAAGCCATTGTGGCCTGCGAGAATCCATGTTTTCTTGTCAGCTGGAAAAGGATTTCTCGAAGAATTCCAGCTCCGAACCGGGTCTGCAGGAGCTCAGGGGCCAGCCAGGAGTTTATATAGAAAAGCTGTGTTCCTATTTCCTTTAAGTGGAAACTCTGACAGCCTAGTATCCATGGCTTTACTATATGACAAACGATTACCTAGTATACTCTTTGAGGAGGTACTTCTTGGAAGAATGTTGAAACTTTCCTGGGGGGGAAAATGGAAGTGGAAATAAATGACAGATTAATCCGTTTGTCACCAGCAGGTCCAAGGGCCTTCGTCCAACCTACTGTCATCTTCCAATGTCAGTTACGGGAGAATAACTCCTTCACTGTTGGGAGAAACACATTTTGCTCGGATGGGAAATCCAGAGGATCCACTGATGCTAATAAAAACCCAAGAACAGGGCAAAGGCAGGAAATAGGAATCAAATATTTGAGAAAGTTTTCAGGTCTTCTGTGCTCTGCACATCATCCGTGAGGCTTCTCGTTTTCTTTCTGCAGATGCAGAAAGCCGACAAGAACACCCTCTTCCACCTGCAAAAATGCAGCCCCAGCTGAGGCGGGTTACAAGTGGTTCGCTCTGCCTTGGCAAACATTTAAAAACCTTCAGATTCTTCTTCTCTTTTCATGCCATGGTGGCCACTGGAATCAATACCAAGGAAGAGAAATGACTTAGAAGAGAAAAATCGCACGTATTGAAACTGATAGAGGAGGAAGGATGGATCGTTAAAGAGGAGACAGCTAGTGACAGAATATTTGAAGTTAATTTTAAAATTAAATTCACTGTTAACATCAGCACTTTAATTTCGTTGCCTTTTATTCCTTTGGTATTTCCATGAGCCAAAGTGAAATAGTCAAGTTACGGTATCATTTAATTTTACTTACTGGTGGATACCCTTTGGTATAACAATATAAGACCGCAAAGAGCCTGGAAAAGATATTTAAACCTTAATTACGTGTCTTGCATAAATTCTTAATTCTGACATTCCACTGCATTATTTAAATACTATGCAACCGAGACCCACAGAGTCACAAGCGTTCGCTAGTTGAGGGAACTTTGGTCATGTTTGATGGTTGGTATGAATTATAGTATTACTTCCCAAGTCTGTATTTACATATTACAAAAAGGAGAAACAACAGAAAACCATGGGAATGGTGGTTGGTCATGCTAAAAAGCCCCCACTTAATCCAGTTAAACAGGGGAAAGTCAATTCTCTTTTTAAAGTCAAATATGAACATAGAATGGCTTTTTTTTTAAGATTTTATCTATCTATTTATTTATTTATTTATTTATTTATATAAGAGAGAGAGAGAGAGTGGGGGTGGAGGGGCAGAGGGGGAGGGAGAGGAAGAGAGAATCCTGAGCAGACTCCACACAGAGCCCAACACAGGGCTTGATCTCATGACTCATGAGATCATGACCTGGGCCAAGAGTCAGACGTCCAACTGAATGAGCCACCCAGGTGCCCCTGGAGTGCCTTTTTTTAAAATGAAGAATCAGATTATTGCTAGAGAAGAGAACTCCTTTGGATCTCCATTACAGCAATGGCACATACATCGTTACCCAGTTGAACGCCTTCTTTAAACAAAACAACTGCCAGAATTTTATGACGATGTAAATTACAACAATCTTACTAACTGCTAACTTGGGGTGAGCTCACTTCCACATCACAGCGATCCCAGGCAGGGACTGCCAGCTGAGAGCAGCGGGGCCTCCCACACGTTCCCGTGTTCACCCAGCAGACATCTGCTGGGCTCCTGGTCTGCAGCCCACCCACCACCTGTGGACGGACAGTGGCTTGGGACAGTCGCCAACCTCAGGTGCTTACTCTCCCCTGCCCTGCCCAAAGTGAACTATTAATTTCGTCCTAATGGACTCAAAAGCAAGTTTCTAACCCCACAAATTAGAAATAAATTCCTTTCTCTTCATTGAAATCTTGAAGCTTTTGGAACAAGACTCAAATGTTTAGCAATAAAATTGCCGCAGGCTAAAAGATCAATCTGATGTTCTACCCCTTCATCCCAGCAGCAGATTCCAAACAAAGGCATCAAATAAGGTAGCCACCAAAAGGGGGGTCATGCTTGGAACAGCCTTTCCTCACACGGAAGAGAAAATTCCTGAAATAAGAAGCACTTTTTACCTAAGAACTCACAGCTTCCTAAAGCAACCTTTACTTTCCTATTAAAAGGGAGGTGAACGATGGAACCAGGTTGAGCGACATGGCCAGGCTGAGAGCCAACTTGCCGAGAGGACAGGAAACCCTAGAACAGGCAAATGGCAAGACTGGGTGTGGAGGGGCCAGTGCTGAGCGGACAGCCAAGGAAGGCAAAGGGCAGATGCTTTTAACAAATCATAATCTGGATCCTGTATCTGGGAAGGAGATGAGTCTGTGGGACACGACCCTCCAATGTTTCATTCTGGCAAGGTAGGGAGCCCCCGCTCTTGGTAAGTAGCATGTTTAATACCCATTCAAACCAATATGGATGAGTCAACACCTCTTGCTTAGGATTCTGAGGCAATAAGGGATTGCAGACTTCTTGTACTTAAGTCTCTATCCAGTAACATTATTCCAGTAATATTCCTTCTCTTGGAACCCGCTGTTGACATCCACATTTGCTCAAGTAGATCATGTCATTCAAAATTGCTAACATCTGATAATGATGTGATAGAGAACAGGGACAACACAATTAGCTTAGTAGATGGCAAACGGAGCCTTTCCCATTCTCTCTCTTGATAAATCGCTGACTGTATTTGCATTCCTTTGAGACAGGGAGCAACAGTCCATACAACCCAAATGCATTTGATCACACCAAGAAGACTATAAGCATTTATGCCCAGATGAAATTACGCCACAAGAGCAACAGAGGGGGCTGGCCAAAGCAATACAGGCGACACACTGACCTTAAAATAATTCAGGACATAGTCAAAGTATTTCAAACAAGGTGATGCACATAAGAAACACAACTTCCTGGCCACCTACATCCTGGTACGCTCACGAAAGGTGAGCACGTAACACCACGCACACAGGCGCCACTCACCCACTGCAACCACTTCCAAAGCTCTTAGATTTTCCTTCCTCGATTTCTTTAGGGAACTTAACACCAGTAACCTGATTAAGTAAAACACAAAAAGGTGATGTGTACCCTATAGGACATCAAGGCCATGGAATGGTGCCTAGATCTCAAAAGGCATAAAATTATGTGATGATGACACGGTTGTTTGTTGTTGTTGTTTTTTTTTAACCCAAAGTGCAATCCAGAAAAGCTCCCTTTCATCAGGTTTTCCCCCCAGCAGATCAATTTAAGAGGCAACTACCATCAATGCAATTATGGGCCTCTGTGTTTCCCAACAGTCCTCCCATGCGTGCAGTGAGGTAAAGCAAGGCCCTTTTAAAAGTACGGACAAATCCGTGAAAGGAGAGCATGTGGAAACTGTGTTCTCAACAGTCCAGTTCAGGAGACTGAACCACAGAGCCGGATTTTAAACACACGCACACACACAAAATGATGTAACAAAAAGTGTGATACAACCCTGTTCAAGCAAGTTCAGGCATAAAATTCTAATATAACGCGCTGACCATACTGGTCTTCTTTCTCTAGAGATAATGTTTCTCTAACAAGTAAATCCAACACACTTTTTTTATTGTTATTAGTTAACTACAGGAAAAAAAAAATCTTTAAAAAAATTCTGTACTCACCAAGGGAAAGCGAAGGTTATCGTCTGAAAAAGAAAGGGGAAAAAGAAAGGGTTAGTTTTCTGGTTACAAGGTGGTAGCTGCTCATTCCAGCCCCTTCTTTCTCTACAACACTAGATGAACGTTCTCATTTTTGCTCAGTTGTTGGGGTCTTCTTGAGGCCTTTTTATCTTCATGATGATAACTTTTGATGTCAGTGATGGGGGGAGCGTGGGAGCTGACCGAGATAGGAAGCGTGTGGTGTTTAGCCCCCAGGCCTGGACGCCCCCTCAGTCCCTCTTCCTAGACACCACCTCTTAAAACCCACATGGGTTGACCCCTCACCCTGGTTTTCCAGCTTACTCATTATCCAGCCTGCTCATTCCCCAACAATTTAGCTTCTATGCCCTTTTCGTGTTTAGCATCTCATTAAGATATAATTTACATACCATGAAGTCCACCTGTGTACAATTCAGGGGTTTTTAGCATAACCATAGAGTTGTACAACCATCACCATAACCTAAATTTAGAGCGTTTCATCATCCCAACAGAAACCCCATGCCCATGATTTCATTAACTCCCCAGCCCATCCTCTCCCCATCCCCTGTCCTCCAGCAACCACAAATCTACATTCTGTCCATGGATTGGCCTATTCTGAACATTTCACAAAAGTGAGATCCTACAATATGTGGCCTTCTGTGACTTGCTTGCTTTTACTTAGTATTTGTTGAGGTTCATCCATGTTGTCACATGTACCAGTTCTTCATTCCCTTCTGTGGATGAATACTCTGCCGTTTTCCATATGCCATACACCATGCTCTGTCTATCTATGCTTCAGTTGGTAGACATGACCCTCTGGTTCTCGTTCGAGTGGCGAGTAGAACAACATCAAGCTGGAGACGACGCTAAGCTGTCACTGTGCATCCACACGGCTAGATGTTTCGATCACCACTGTCTTTAAATAGCTAATGCATTATGTGGTGTTTTCTACCAAAATAGAATACCTCTCATCTTAGTCATGGCCAGGCTAGATATTTTAAACCAAAGACAATACTCTGCAGCACACAATTATAGCAAGTTGAGGCACTCACTAAAAAGCTGACCTGTGAAATCGGTTTGGAGCCAAAGAAGCAGAAGAAATGGTTCTTCTAATATTAGGGAATTTTAAATCTACTTGGGCAAATCTACAGCTAATGTTATCTCTAGTGGTGGAAGAGTGAATGCTTGCCCACTAATACTCAGAACAAGGCAAGGATGTCCACTCTCACCACTCATATTTAACATTGTACTGGAAGCCTGGTCAATGTAATAAGGCAAGAAAAAGAAATAAAAGACCCAGGAACTGGAAAGAAAAAAATAAGACTTCTGCTTTCTCAGATGGCATGATTATCTACATAGAAAATTCAAAAGAATCCACAAAAAATCAACTAGGGATCAGTCTGTTGGGTAAGAAATAAAGTCACAGAGTTCCCAGAATGCAGCAGAGTCCAGTGTAACACAAATCAAATGGCAAGAAGGTGAGGGAGGCATTGATGGTTGGGCAAGAGGTGAGATCATTGGAGGTAAGGGGAACTGCTTTTTGTAAGAATAACTTACTACAAGAGTCCACTCCTTCCAATCCCCTCAAAGAACCTGGGGAAAGCACTGGGAAGAGTTACGTGTTTGCCTGGGGCCAAGCATGGGGAGAAGAAGCCAGGAGTAGAAGCTGCCCTTAATATTTCAGGATTGGTAGAAATGTTCAAAACTATCTTCCAAAGCAATGTTGAGTCATTTTAATGTAAAAGGAAACCCAATGAGATGGAGAAGTATATCAGAGGCAGAAGCAAAACTGCAGGCTTGAGTCAAACCAAACTAAAAACCACACAGGAAAAACCCACTAGAGTGTAGAACCAGGTGGGCACTCTGTCAATTTTTGGTTAAACAAATGAATAAGCAGAATACACTAAGTACCAACTAAACGCAAGCAGTAATTCTGAATTAAACTTTGAACTCATGTTGTTTTCTTTTGTAAACTAAGCAAGAACACAGGGAACCGTGGCGGTACGAGAGATCACCTACTGTATGGGTCTGGGCTCACACGTGTTAGCATGAAACCACAGCTGTCAGTTTCTCAAAGTACAGAATTAGAACAAAAACCAAGCAACCAGAATACACTCGGAAGTCAACCTTCATCTCAGGAACACTTTCTGTAGCCTCAGGCCCTGAAGCAGACTGCTACTTGAATACTGAGCACAATGTCTGAAAACGTGAAATAAGCACATTAAAAATTGGGGGTGGGGGAGGTCCGTTCCCACGGACAGATCTGCTCGTGTCAGGGGGGGCCGTCACCCGACACAGCAGCATTCCACAACTGGAAAGGTTCCTGGTCTCACCAGGAATGGCCCCATCCTCCAAACGAGGGAAAGAGAGAAGCTGTTGGGTTTGGGATCCTGTCCAGTGCTGCTTACTATGTCTCTCCCCAGCCCACAGCCAGTCCTGTGAAATAGGCAAGATGAGTCCCATTTTAAAGAAGTGAACACTGAGGCCCGGGGAGCCCCTTGACTTTGCCAGTGTCACACAGAGCAAGGAGGCAGGGCAGCAGGGATGCTAACCCAAGGTTGCTGAGACCACTCTGGGCTGGGCTGCACAGGCAAATCCAGCTTACCCTGTAGTTTACTTTTGTTTGCTTGTTTGTTTGTTTTTCTTCTTGGGTCTCCATCCCCGCAGTGAAGCTGTAATTCCTTCAAGGCAGGAACAGTCAGCCTTTTCTTTACATTCCTAGTATCTACCAGTGGCTGCCAGCAGGAAGACCCATGAAAGGCATGCCGTTGAGGGCAACACTGACATTAGCAACTCCCTAAAATCTCTTCTCACCCCAGGGAAAGCTTCACTGTGGTCTGTGTGCCAGAAAAACCTGGAAAGGCTCAGACTGGCCACACACTTCCGGGGGGGGGGGGGTTGGTGGGGCGGGGAGAAGTGGGTCTGTGGGGGTGGTCTGGCCAGACCGTGGAAGTGCGGAGCTCTGTCCCTGGGGCATCCAGATGTGGCCGCTCTGCTTCCAAGGGGCAGAGGCAGCGAGGATGCTTTCCAAGCTAGACCCTGGGAAAGAGGTGGTATGAGGACATGGAACAGGGGAAATCCACCGAGAAGGCGGGGAGCCGGGCAGGCGAGGTCAGGCGGGTGGGCAGTCCTGCAGGAAGTGGCCCCAGGCTACAGGGCTCCCAAACGATCGCTCACAAGATATGGAAAGACCACGTGATGTTACTGTGCATCCATTACCTCACAAAGAAGAAAATAAAGCTACAACATTTACAATCAATCCATCAGGACTGCTTCATTTAAGGAAGAAATTAAAATTATTCTGACTTGTCAAGCTCTGAGATGGACAGAACTGGGTTATCTTTCCAAACTCAGACAAAAGTAAACTGTTTTTTTACACACATCCTTGGCCCAGAGCATCCTAAACATTCAAGTGGGCAGAACGTGCGTTGCCAAGGAGGGTATCTGCAAGCTATTCTTTTAAATGGGCAGCAGCATTGGAAAAATTGGCGGATGCACATTTTCGTTTTATTTAAAAATGCTCACATATATATTTCCACATGTATAGTGTATCTAAAATGTGAACTTTGATGAAAGATTAAAATTTTATAAAGCAAGGGCACACAAATGAAAAATCAAAATCATGCAGTCAAACACCATGAATCTGGGCTTGCCCCGGTCTTATGGGGCGGGCAGACCGGAGAGGAGCTCCTTCACCCTGGCTGCCTTCCCTCGGATCCCCCATCAACTGTCAGAACGGATCCCCCTCAGGCACAGGGTCTCTCAAGCACACTGAGGAGGACAATTAATTTAGATGGGTTGCCCAAATTGCAGAAAACCACTACAAAGGAGAGAACAAGAGACCACATCACCTACGCCGCCCACGGTGGAAAAGCAAGAGGCCCCAGCCACGGAGCACAGCCCCCTCAGCATTCTGTCAAGGAACAAGTTCACTCGGCCTCCACGCGGTAGTTCACACGGGCGGATGGGGGACCCTGCACAATGCTTCTGAATCATCTGGGCTTCAGATTCTCACGGATATCATACGCTGCCAAGTCTCACAGTTTCCTTGTTTACCTTCCAGGCATCCGCAAAGCTGTTAATTTCTGTATTTCCTAATGTATGAAAGGCTGAAAGGGGCTGCCGATCTCACGGGGGGCGGGAAAACTCCCCGAATGATGAGTCTGGGAGAACCATATTCTGGTGACCCCACTGCAAGCCACCTTGAAAAGGCAGGGGCAGGGGTCCTGGAAAACCATGTTGCTAAGGCTGGAGGAAAGATCTGCTTTCTCAACCCATTTTGTCACTCTATGACCAACAAGCTGGACTTCTAAATATCTGGCAAATTTTAAAAATTATTCATGGACAGCTGCTTAGCAAAGACCCACGCACATCCCTGCCTGCTTCTTGAGAGTATTTCTGGATCACAGTCCCCAGCCTCCAAAGTGCACAAAATGGCACTCCGTAATAACCCCACAGTTGGGGGGGGGCCCTTTTTGGATTAGGAAATTCTGCCAATTAGCAAGCCAAGGCCTCTATTATATTTGCATACGTCCACATCCATCTCTGCCATTATCATCGGCATGGAATTTGAGAAGGATTTTGATTCTCTGTGTTCCCTTCCGAGGTACAGGATGCTCTCCCAGCCCCAGAGAGGAGGGTGGCCTCTCCTATGCTGGCCTCCCAAGGGCCAGATGTTCAGGTATAGAACAAGCACGTGCCCCTCCCTCTGCCCAGAGCCAATGTAAACCTGGCTGTGAAAGGTAAAGGTAAGACCTTGTCCTTCTGCCTCCCTCCTCACCTGCTCCCCTCCTTACCTTCCCCCCTCCTCACCTGTCCCCTCCTCACCTGCCCCCCCCCCCCCCCCCGCCGGCACTTGGCACAAACACTTCTTAGATAGTGACAGTCAGTCACTGTCATGTTTTAAAAAGTCATTGCCCGGTGAGTAGCTTCTCTGTGGGGGTTCTTGTGCTCAAGGGCAGGGACAGTATGAAAACATCCTTGGAGAAAGCATGCACAATAAGGATAG